AGTGCCAGGGCACATGCCAAAGGAAGCAGTTATTTCTGATTTCTCCTCCTGGAGGAATGTGACCTCACTCATAGCTGGATGCTGCCACCTTCAGGCCCTTTGCAAGTCCTGCAGAGGAAATCTGGCCTGATAGGGGTCAAGGACCTTCCATTTTTGCATTAATTTAAGAAACACTATTGGACGTCTGTTCTTGTTAGCCCCTCAGTCCATGGCTAGAGATAGATGAGTAGAACAGACATGTACACAGAAAATATAATGCAGTACACACAGTGATTACATCCAGGTTATTGAGAGAAGGCTGAGGCATTAAGATCAGAAGAGATAGAGCTAGCAGGTAGCTGGGCTCTCACATGACCAATTGTGGTTCAGGTCTCAGACCTAGTGGCTTGCTTTCTCACCTCTCTCTCTGTCTTTATCTGGTGAGTGTATGTCAGGTAGGGCCTGAGAGGGCTGGTCCACAATGACCAGGCTGTTCCGTCTTCTCTTGTACATCCTGTCCATTCTGCACCCAGGACTGCAAGGCGTCTTGCTCCCAAGGAGGTTGGTGCTCCTCCCTCCTTTGCTCTCAAAAAGGCTTTTATCTTTCTTCTTCTTCTTCTTTTTTTTTTTTTTTGGTATTTTAAAGGACAGAAAATGAGAGTGCTTTGTTTGGAATTGCCATGTGTGGGCTTGGAGGATTTGGATAAGCCAATCCAGAGCCATTCTGCACCTGCAGGAGGCGGGGTAGTGGGATGGGGTTGTGTGCCCAGGTGCTTATGGTAGGAACCTGGGCAGGAGATGAAGGTGCAGATCAGGGCAATGTGCTGACAAGGCAAGGAAAATAAAATGGATTGCTTCATATATAGCAAGTAAAGCCAGGATTCCGTAGACGCAGAGGCCTGTGCGGAGGGAGGCATCCACCATGATGCAGAAGCTTCTAGTCTGAGTGAGCAGGTGAACGGTGGGGCCTCAGACTGTAAAATCAAGGAGGTAGCTCAGTCTCAGGAAGGAGTACGGACTTAGTTTTGGTCATCACAGCCTGAGTTACCTCTGAGCATCCAGGTGGTTATTTCGTGAAGCTGAAGAGTTAGCTCCTGTGGGCGAGGTCAAAATGCTACACTGTTCTCAGGGTGAAGTTCTGAGGTGCACTTTCAGTGATATCTCTGTTGTGTAATTCTGAAAAGGAGAAAGATTTTCTTGGTTAAAGGATAGAGAAATCTCACTTTAGAGGTCTCCTAAATGAAGTGGGGAGACTTTAGGGGATGAGTACCTGCTACTTGTAGTATTACCCTGGGCTCAGCAAGGGTGATGGGAGTTTTTGAGTCCGGGCCTCTTTAGTTGGCGGGTAGCCCTGACAGCGTCCTGGCTGACTTGTCCCCCGTGTGGAGGCACTGGGGACAAGTCAAACATTGGGCAGTCACTTCCCCAATGACCAGGCTGTTTGCACTTGGGCATGGCTTGGTGGACGATTGGGGACAAGGACATTGTCGAGCCCAGTGGCCCGTGTTCCCGCACTTGACTCATGGTCTCGGGGGGGATGGACTTAGATGAGGCAGCCCCATTCTTGTGCCCCTGTGAGGCCACCCAGCTCAGGGCTACTGCCAGGGCCTAGGTTTGGAGTGTCACTATGTAGTGAAGGCAGGCTTGGTGTTCAGCCTCAGCTGCTTCCTTCCAGGCACTGTAAACCTTAAATGCCATTTTTACCAGATTACAGATGGGGAGGAGGTGCTGGGCCTGGCCATGCAGAAGTAGGACTGGGGTATGGTGGGAGACTCGGGGCGGGGGCAGCGCTGGAAAGGAGGGGAGTTAAGAGTTTCAAGTGGTTTGTTCATAGGAGAGAGATCAGCCTCCAGGAGAGGTTTGGTTTTTAGATTGTGGGGTTTCGGTCACGAAAAGGACTTGGGCGGTAGTGCAGGAGGTGCAGAGGGAGAGGCAGGAGCTTAGGTCCCAAAAGGCTTGTACATATTGAACCTCTGACCATTTACCTACCGCTTGGCAGTAGTTATCCAAGTCAGTGAGAATATTGTAATCAAAGTCCCCCGAGGAGGCCATTTGGACCCATTGTCCAAATTGTATTGCGGCCAGGCCACAGCTCCTGAGAAGAGCCTATTTCTGTGATTCTCATTCACCGTAACTTTTCACCCTAGGGAGATACTCCTGAGTCTTCTTTTTGAAAGTAGAGAGGAAACCAAGTTTGTGATTTTTTTTTTTTTGTTCTTAGCCATAGGACATGTGCGCTTTCCGGAAAGAGAGAGAGAGAGAGAAAGTGAAAAATCATTGCCCAGGGGGTGGCCACACTGCAATCCCTCTCTCAGGGTTTTTGGCACACAC